ACCGCACAACCTGTTGTCAAAGTAAGACCAGTTAAAATTATGTGGCAGTAGCAGGTTTTATTTGCTCTGTCCTTTTCATTGTTCATGTCATAGCAGAGTACATTTTGAGGTCATTTGTAGGCAGGGGGAAAGAAAAAATTAGTTTTGTTTTAGGGATGGTATCAGTGTGACCCAAGCCACTAAGGGCTTGTTTTCTAAGGATAATTACATTTTTTTTATTACATTTGTTTTCAAGGTTTTGGGGGCATAAGGGCCTTAACATGCTCAAAAACATGAAAATTAGTACACTTGTTGGAATCTGTGGCCATCAGGGCCAGGTAGAGTTTCACATGGGGGGTTACCAGGGGGCCTGTGGCACAGCTTTTAAAATGGCCAATTTCGAGGGGCTCTGTAGGACACACCATTTCACCTAGTCACCAAAATTCATACACATATAGATATCAACAGCCCGAACAACTTTCGTGCTCACATTCAGCGCTCCGCCCCACAGGAAGTCGGCTATTCAGGGTTTTGTGAAAAATGCATGCTCTGGATTTTGATATACTTGTCCTAGGGTTTTCATCCGATTGGCAACAAACTCAATCAACATGATCTGGAGACATTTGGGAAGCTAAATTGCGAAGGAATTTTTGATATCTTGAAAGGTTTGGCCATGACAGGAAGTGTCTAATAACTTTTTCATACAATGTCTGATTTTGATCAAACTTCAGCAGTTTGTTCATTGTATGAGGTAGATCACATAGATGTGACTATTGTGAGTCAAAGTTATAGAGCCACCAACTGGCAGCAGGAAGTGTGGGACTTTTAAAAACGTTTTGAAATCGACATCTTTTACCCGGTTTGCTTTAAACTTCTTCAGAACAATGTCAAAACACACCCAATGTAAATCTGTGAACAGATTTCTGATATCTTAAACAGTGTTGCCATGGTTTTGAGGCACTTAACATTCTTAGAATTGCTTAGTCACCAAACTCTGTAAATATATTGTTCTCATCAAGCCGGACAACTTTCTAATTTACAGTCAGTAGCTACGGCCAACAGGAAGTGGGCTATTTTGGTTTGAATGTGGATTTTTTTTAAAAATCAGGCTGTGCATTATTGCATACTCCTCCTAGGGAATTCATGCAATTCACCCTAAACTTTCACAATATGATGCCAAGATATATGGAAGATGCTAAATGGCGAACAGATTTTGGATATCTTGAATGGTGTTGCCATGGCAATTTATTAAAGTAACAGTAAAAAAGGAAACTCAAAACTTTTTACATATGGACAAGTCATTCTGAGGAAACATGCTTAGAATCATACATTTATAATGCTCTTGAGGGCTAACAGTAAATTAAAAACTATCAGACATTTCAGCTGAGATGAATGCTGTAATACAGAGGTTATCCACAAGGTTGTCACAGGATAGCAACTCTTTTAATCCTGATTTTTTTTCCTGTCTGTTTCCATCCATTAGAATGACAAATGAATGCATAGAGTCAGTTGTTGTGTTATTGTGTACTGTACTGTCAATATACACTTTTATATAATTATTTTACAAATGCTTATAGAGCATTAAAGGATAAGTTCACTTGTAGAATGAAAATTCTGTCATCATTTACTCACCCTCCCCTTTTTCCAAACCTGTATGAGTTTCTTTCTTCTGTTGAACACAAAAGATGATATTTTGAAAAACGTTGGTATCTGAACAGTTGATGGGCACCATTGACTTAAATAGTATTTTTTTTTCCTACTATGCAAGTCAATGGTGCCAATCAACTGTTCGGATACTAAAAAATGTTCAAAGTATCATCTTTTGTGTTCAACAGAAGAAAGAAACTCATACAGGTTTGGAACAAGTGGAGGGTGAGTAAATTTTCATTCTGCAAGTAAACTTATCTTTTAAAATAATTTTTAAAAATTCTTATAGATCATTAAAAGATTTATATATATCCTTTCCGTTAATGTATTGGTTCCACTCTGTTGCTATTCTAGAGTAACCTTTCATTGCTGTATCTCAACAACCAGACTGCCAGAGGGTTTAATGCATGTGCCCGCTGTGCACCATTTTCCTGATGCCACTGCCGTTGCGGTGACACCGGGCTTGGGCCCGTCATCGCTGCTTGCAGCTATATTTATAATTATTTTTTACAAATATTTATCTAGAAATTATAAGAAGTTTCTGTATTTACTTAAACCTACAGTGGGTATATGAAAGAATCATCCCCCTTTAAAGGGGTCATATGATGCGATTTCATTTTTTCCTTTCTCTTTGGAGTGTTACAAGCTCTTGGTGCATAGAGAAGATCTGTAAAGTTGCAAAGACTAAAGTCTCAAATCCAAAGAGATATTCTTTATAAAAGTTAAGAGTCAGCCACACCTACCTAAAACGGCTTGTTCGAACACGCCCCCACATATCTACCTCACTATGTTGGAAGATTTGCATAACACCACCCAAATGTTCACGCAACGAAAGAATGCGTAACTTTTATTCTCGCTGTAGTATTGTTGCCGCCGCCATGCCAGTGTAGAATAGCACATGTAGTTTGTCATTTATCTGATCACAAATGCAGACAGGGTTTTATGTTTACGCGGCACAATGCAATGCAACGCAACGCATAAAAAGACAGTATAAGTCATTATAATCAGTAATTATGTCCCCACTGGATGCAACAAATGCCTCGTTTGTAATGGGTTTGAATGTTTTTGTTTCGTCGCTCCGGCCGGGACACGCCATCACAGTATGGTGAGGGGCGTAACATTTCCGTCTCACGCTTGAGGTATTCGGCCAATCACAATGCACCGGATAGCTGGCCAATCACAGCACACCTCGCTTTTTCAGACCGATGAGCTTTGTAAAAATCGACGCGTTTCAAAAAGGCAGGGCATAGAGGAGAAACAATAATGTACAGTATGTGGAAAATAATGTGTTTTTTTCACTTTAAACCACATAAACATATTTTAAAACGCAAATACACAAAATAATGTTCTTTTTAGCAGCATCAAATGACCCCTTTAACATATATATATATATATATATATATATATATATATATATATAATTTGATAGGTATTATATTTATATACGTTTTTCTTTGCATTATTATATACCCAAAGAGTAAAAAACATGTTACTTTATTGTATAAATGTAATACATTTTTGCATTATTATATACAGCAACTGACTTTTTATTTTGTTCATTTTTTTAAAATATTAATATAATTGTTTTCTTTCATTTTGATTATTATTTTTTTAGCTTTAAGTATTTTTAGCAGCTAGGCTTTAAAGGGGATGAATTTAGAGATGCAACTTTGAGAGGTCTTTAGTTTTCTGACAGCATGCTGTGCTTTAGTGTGTTAACAGTCTAAAAGTAGCTGTAAGATTGTCAGCACACTAAAACCTTTTCTGAGATCTCATCTCTAAATTCATCTCCTAAAGCACCTCCGTTTCAGCCATCAAAACAGCTTTTGTAACAGATTCGCTGCCTTCAGCAATACATTTCACATCGCCTACTGTGAGCAACGTTCCCATTATTATGCATAATCAGTTTTTTTGTGAGGACTAACCTAGTTTGTGCAATAAAATGATCTCTAAAAAAAAAACCACGTTTACTGATGGGTGTCTAATCAACTTGAGCCTAAACCAGACCACTTATAAAATGCTTCCTTAAGAGTAGTCTGTCAGACACCCCACTGATCAGTCTTTTTTTTTTTTTGCACATCCCTATTTCCTTCGTGTTCTAACACACATGGCGATCTCATTTTCCTCAGAAGAAAGGGGTGAAGCGGAAAGCAGACACTACCACACCCACAACCTGTGCGATCACTGCCAGCAGAAGTGAGTCGCCCACTGCGATGTTGGAATCCAAACACAGTAAAGTAATTTCCAGACGAGAGAGCACAGGTCGACCCATCAAACCTCCCAAAAAGGACCTGGAGGATGGAGATGTCCAGCAGCAAGGCAACAAGAAAAGCAAGCTCAACGATCATCTCAAATACTGTGATACTATCCTTAAAGAGATGCTTTCCAAGAAGCATGCAGCCTACGCCTGGCCCTTCTACAAGCCCGTAGATGCAGAGGCGCTCGAGCTGCATGACTATCATGAAATCATCAAGCAACCAATGGACCTCAGCACTGTCAAAGTATGGCATACAATTTCATCTTGAAAAGTCAGAAATTATTTCAGTTATATAAGTATATATAGTAGTAAATATTCTCAAGAATCTAAAATATTAATTTATATAAATAAACGTTACACAAAAAAAGCAAAAGTGAAAATTCTAAATTATTATATAAATAAACTATTGCACTATAAATAAAGTATTTATATACAAACTATAACTATTACATTTATAGTTATTTTAACTCCATTATATATAATATGTGACCCTGGACCACAAAAGGGTAAATTTTTCGAAATTTTGATTTATACATCATCTGAAAGCTGAATAAATAAGCTTTCTATTGATGTTGTTAGGATAGGACAATATTTGGCCGAGATACAACTTTTTTGAAAGATTTGAAAATCTGGAATCTGAGGGTGCAAAAAAATCGCCTTTAAAGTTGTCCAAATTAAGTTCTTAGCAATGCATATTATTAATCAAAAATTAAGTTTTGATATAGTTACAGTAGGAAATATACTATGAAATGTATTTATGATCTTTACTTAAAGGAGACATATTATGCCCCTTTTTACAATATGTAATATAAGTCTCTGGTGTCCCCAGAATGTGTCTGTGAAGTTTCAGCTCAAAATACCCCACAGATCATTTATTATATCATTTTGAAAATGCCCATTTTGAGTGGAAGCAGAAACACGCTGTTTTTCGTGCCTTTCTCTTTAAATGCAAACGAGCTGCTGCTCCCCGCCCCCTTTTCCAGAATAGAGCTGTGCCATTACAGCTCGTACCTGCTAAAAAATATCTGTTTAGGTTCTGATTATCATGTTTATCTCGCTGAAATAGTGCGTTTTAAACCATATGAGTTTAAACTTCTGATATACGGTTTTCTGAGAGCACACATCCGAAGAACACGGACAGAAAGTGGCTGTCACAGCATGCGAGTACTAATCTAAGTTCTCATTCACACACAAGTTTACGTTAAAAACACACTTGAGTTACAAAAAGTTAAGGGGCGGTAATATTATAATGAGATCTCTTTGAAACGTCACTAGGGGAGCGAAATCAGACGCGCTCGTTTTCTCAGACGCTTGCAGAGAAAGGCTTAGCAAAACAAAGTTACTGGGTTAATCTTTTTCACGTTTCCTTGGTTGGTAGATGCACCAGGGACCTGATTATAGCACTTAAAACCTGGAAAACACATGAGCTACAAAAACAGTCGGTTATGTCTGTGAAGGTATACAGCTGGGAAATAAATCACGTTTATTTTAGATCTGTGTGGCAGCAGCAATATACAATAAATAAATCAATAAATCCACTGCTCTCTTGTCTCCTCTGAGGCTGGGACTGTAAACAGTGTTCTGTGCTCATCTGTGCAGCCAAAGACAGAACAGTTAGGATGCTTTGCTCAAAATTTCGTCATGGCATTAGAGCTGGTACACTGTTGTCGAAATCAAAATGACGGCGCTTGGGTGGAAACTTACAGATAAAGGGGCGGTAATATTATAATGAGTTCCCTTTGCAACGTCACCAAGGGAGCGAAATCAGACGCGCTCGTTTTTTCAGACGCTTGCAGAAAAAGGCTTACCAAAACAAAGTTACTGAGTTAATATTTTTCACATTTCCTTGATTGGTAGATGCACTGGGGACCTGATAATAGCAGGTCAGATTTTCATGATAAGTCACCTTTAATGTCCTAATGATTTTTGGCATAAAAGAACAATATTGACCCATACAATGTATTTTTGGCTATTGCTACAAATATACCCCAGTTACTTGAGACATATATGTCACATATATGTTTCTATATTATATAATAAACTTTATTTTGAATTATATGTACAGTATGTATGTGTGTGTGTGTGTGTGTGTGTATGTGTGTGTGTGTGTGTCGAAATCAAAATGACGGCGCTTGGGTGGAAACTTACAGATAAAGGGGCGGTAATATTATAATGAGTTCCCTTTGCAACGTCACCAAGGGAGCGAAATCAGACGCGCTCGTTTTTTCAGACGCTTGCAGAAAAAGGCTTACCAAAACAAAGTTACTGAGTTAATATTTTTCACATTTCCTTGATTGGTAGATGCACTGGGGACCTGATAATAGCAGGTCAGATTTTCATGATAAGTCACCTTTAATGTCCTAATGATTTTTGGCATAAAAGAACAATATTGACCCATACAATGTATTTTTGGCTATTGCTACAAATATACCCCAGTTACTTGAGACATATATGTCACATATATGTTTCTATATTATATAATAAACTTTATTTTGAATTATATGTACAGTATGTATGTGTGTGTGTGTGTGTGTGTATGTGTGTGTGTGTGTGTGTATATATATATATATACACACACACACAGTAGTTTATATTATAACTTTATTGTAACTAATTTATTTGAATTATTTCATGTGTATAGTAAATATTTCAAAATAATTGTATTGATTTAAATAAACTAACATTTATTAGTTATAGTTTCTTATATTTATATAATTAACTTTTCTTTCATTTAATTACACACCCGTACACACACAAAGATATATAAAGATATAAATAAACTATTGAGTGTGTGTGTGTGTGTGTGTGTATGTGTGTATATATATATATATATATACAGTGGGTACGGAAAGTATTCAGACCCCCTTAAATTTTTCACTCTTTGTTATATTGCAGCCATTTGCTAGGGTCTGAATACTTTCCGTACCCACTGTATATATATATATATATATATTTAGTTATTATATATATATATGGTAAAGGTTTAATTTAAAAGATAATTTATTTCTATAAAGAAAACTATTTATAATAGAGAGAGAATTCAGGTAAATTGGGACACTTTGCAATTGAGATGACTGGTAAAAATATCTCAATTATTCTGAATTCATCATATATGCAGTAGTTATTATATTTATATAATAAACTATTCTTTGAATTGTTATATCCAACATTTATTGTATGTTGCTTTAGTTTTTAAATCTTTAAAAAAAAAAATACTTTTATAAAGCTAAACTGTCGCATGCAATTTCTCTTTTCCAGAAAAAGATGGACAGTCGAGAATACCAAGACGCCCAAAGTTTCGCAGCAGATATTCGGTTAATGTTCTCAAATTGTTACAAATACAACCCACCCGATCACGAAGTCGTTGCCATGGCAAGAAAACTCCAGGTGCGACGCTTGACACTGAGCCATTGTGCCTTATCATGTGCTTTCAGATCTCACCAATCATATTTGTCCATGTTTTGCAGGATGTGTTTGAGATGAAATTCGCTAAGATGCCCGATGAACCCGTAGAGCCGTCCTCACCCAATGCGGTGTCGGCCACGGCAGTGGTGAGCAAAAGCACCGGCAGCAGCGAGAGCAGCGTGGACTCTTCCAGCTCCAGCTCCGACTCGGAGGAGGAACGGGCCACTCGGCTGGCTGAGCTGCAGGAACAGGTGAGTGGCAAACAGGTGGGTGTCACCACTTGAGGACCAAGATCCAAACCAAGGGTGGAGAGACAGGCAGAGGCCACACCCACTCCCCCTCACATTCACCACCACTTCCTCAGTCTAACTTCTTGTGTCAGAATCATTTGGACTTTTTTTTTCCTTAATGTTTCTTGTTTTCGTAATGTTTTGGAAACGACTGCCCATCTTCACCCTGGACTGAAGGTTTAACCCTCTACCGCCTCTGCAGTTTGTGTTGGCATCTTGGTATACATTGGCTTGCATGCTGTCAAACTTCAGATGACAATTTTTAATTTTGCTATCTCTCAGTGTCAAACATATTGATGTCAATTGTAGTTACTCTGCTCTCATCATTACACAGTCTGTTGTTAAAATACATTTTTGAGAATGACTATTTTGTCCGTTGATTTCACTTTGGCTTTTTTCCCAGCAATTCGCTGTGGAGCAGCCCAATGGTAACAGGGCGGGGACAAAAAACGGGTGTGCCAAACATTTTCAGGTGAATGATATTTTTACTTCCCGGTCCCCCACCCCACTAACTCCTTCATTCTTCTTATTTGAGCGGTAGAGGGTTAAGGTGGTGCTTTATGGGGTGTATTTGAGCTGGGCATCTCCCTCAAGTGAGCTTGCTTTGTCACTCAGCTAGTCTTTTGGCTCTGTTTCCCTCTTTGCTCTGTGAATGACATTGACTGGCATGTTTGTCAGTGAGAATCCAAATTCTTTGCCGGGATGTGGTCTCCAGTGCTTCCAAATCATCATGGTAAAGTCTTTTTCATTCTTTAAAGGAGGTTTAATGTTGCCATGAAACAGAAATATAATGAATTATCAAAAAATAAAAATGTGTAGTGCAGAGATTTGATCCTGTCCAGTGGTTGTTGATTGGATAGATGCAGATTTGAATATGAGCATGCAGTTGGTTGTAAAAAAGTGGCGGGGTTTTTAATGGCAAAAGGGGTTTTATATATATTTTCGTTTCTTTATTACGTTCATTTAGAAATATGTTTGGAAAATGTTTTTGTTAAATTCAAGTTTTTGTTTTGTTAAAGTAATGACCAAGCGGCCAGTGGCAGACAGTGAGTTAATCATAGCCTATGTTTGATCAATTTAGCCTTCTCAAATCATCACCACTTGACTAAAATAAAATCTATAGGCCTATATAAAATGCTTAAAAAAACAATGTTAGCTTAAATGGTTAACCTAGATAAATGTGTGCTATTAGGAGCGTATCCAATCGTTTGTGCAGAGAAGCTAAAGCATGCTTTGCAGGACATGGAGTCGCCAGCACGATCACTTGCATTTTTTTCTTATAACAGTGGAAACAACCAGTCATTTTTGCTCATAAAGGTAAGAGTAATACATCATTCGGGACTGTTAAGGGTCTACTTTTATTTGTGTGCACTCACAATATCAGCATACGTTGTGCTTTTTTAGAAAACAAACAGGATACGCTTTCTGCTGTCTCGGTCTTGAGCAGGAGCGCTTCACAAAAATGAACCGTTCAAAAATGAACACCTGATTCAGATCATCATGTTAAAGCGCAGCTTTGCGTGCGCTTTAACATGGAACTCTTCCAGCACTCGCTGCTGCTGGACACTAAACACCGTCCGAGCCACTCCTGACAGTCGCGGTAGAACAAATATGTTCTCGTGTTGTTTCCACCAAATCTTTGTCATCACCATAATAATTGATGGATATCTAAAATATAAAAATACGGAGGAAGCAAGCCTGATGCCCGGCCCGTGTCTGAGCTATGACGTGAAAATTGTCCAGAAGCCATATATAAGTTGGGGCCGTTGGGCTCGGGCTGAAA